TTGTCCTTTAAATACTTAATATATTGGATGATTAATATATTCTCAGTAAGAAATAAATCTTATCATAACGACTTTTTGACTGAATCAAGGTAAGTTTCACTTAAGTTTTGTTATCAATAATTCACAAGTCAACTAACCTTATATATGGGGAAGTTAACTCTAGTTTTCTGAATTGATTCTTGATTATTTGGTAATTGTAAGTTATTTGATTAATTCAATGCATTCACACAATCCAAATTGTTAGCGTTTGTACTTGTAATTTGCAACTTGATTTGTGTTAAGTCTTTAGTGTTTCAAATTAGATAGAAACGAAACTTGAGCTCGTGTCATAATGACAAATTGTAAGTAACTTTGTAATTTCACCTTAACTTATCATCTCACAATTAATTAAGTTCGGAATCTGGTTTGGAGGAAATTGGAAGGTAAGATTATTACCATTCTTCCATACGTACAAGTCGACTTTGCATTTTTCGACTTGTAAAATTTTAATAAAGTAAATTTTTGAAAACTTGATACCTAATTTATTGAAAAAACAGGTCCTGATAATCGAAAAATCGAGGACCTGATTTGTTCAAAACCTATGCTCAAAACTCAACACCTTGATTTTTTACAAACACAGACCTCAGCCAATCATTAGGGATAACATTATATTTAAAAAAAGGTTGAATAAATTTCAATAATTTGGTAGAATTTAATGTTCACATAATGAGAATTCTCTTTCGTATAATTCATTTTGTTCATCCCTTTTGTACTTTCTACTCTCCATCAATTGCTCACGAACCTCTTCGGCTTGTGCCTTACTCATCAAAGGAAGGAATGGAATAATCTCCTTAATAAGAATTGGATAAGGTAACTTTTTAACGAGAGGGAATGCATTCGAAATGGCAGCATCTCTCCTCTGATTATCAATGTTTGAAGTTGAAACAATTGGCTTTTCTGGATCAACAAAGAAAAAGACAAGAATTTTTCTGGTGGCAACCTCAGTTGGATCCTTTGGGAAGAAATGTCTAACTCTGTGTTGATGGGTATTGGGAAGAAGATACATTTTCCTTCTGTGGTTTGACATTCCCAAA